CAGTTCCGGGACAAAAAAATAATTTGGAAATGAATTTGAATAAAATTTGTCATTTCTGAAATAAAATCAATACATAATCCGCGATTTTCACACATTTTCCGATATTAAAGAAAAATCTAGATATGATGGTAGATCTAAAATCATTTTAGAACTAAATTCAGTTAACTTTGTTCAACACTAAACTGTTTTTGACTACCAAAGCTCAATTTTTGGTTTTAATTTTTTTTGTTTCGATTTATCCATAGATTTTCCGACTTTCCCGTCAGTAAAAAAACCAACAACAGTTATTTCTAGTCCAAGAAATAATTTATAAAAAAATTTGAAGAAAAAACTGAAAGAAGCAAACTTTATTCAACTCTAAGTTGATTCTGACTGCCAAAGCTCAATTTGTTACAATTTTCAAAGACCTTCATTTTTAAAAATTCAAAATAGTGGACATAATTTTTAAAATTCATTTGGATTTTTATCAATTTCAGTATCTAGGGATATTTTGGGTCGCTGAATTTAAATTTGTCTTTCAAAATAAAAAATTATGAATTCAAAATGAGGGACGTAATTTTCTTAATTCATCCCGATTTTTATCAAATTTTGTACTCTATTCTATATCCTTTGCATTAGCTGATAAAACGAATCATGACCCCAGAATGTGCCGCGTGGAGGCTGCAAAGGTTTTACATTACACTTTCTGTTCTTTGTTTTTTTTGTTTATAATATCTGTTTAAAATTTAAAAATTTTGTCCGACATATTGGATCCACCATTTTGAATTTTTTTGACGTCATATTTATATTCAGCGACCCCAAAAACCCTTGTATACTAAGTTTCATAAAAATGCATCTAACAGATTTTGCTGAACATTTTGGGCCAATCATATGATTATTATTTTTCCAAACAGCGAAGGGGTTTATAAGATTGTTTCAAATTTTTTAAATTCTTTTGGTCTAAGTTTGCCAACCTGCATTTTCTAAGAAAAAAGTTTTGTATATTCGCATAATTCAAGTTATTTGAATCAAATAAATATATAGATAAAAAAAATTATTTGAATGAGATAATTTTTTTTAGTGTGCTAATACTTTTACGTATGCAAATGGAAGAGCATTAATTTATTTATTATAAATTTGGTATAAGGACTACATAAATAATTATTTGACGCAATTAAAGAGATATTGGTCTAAATTAAAATAATTAATTATAAAAAATAATTGCATATTTGATATAAATAAGGGAAATTCCACGTTAATACGGACAGAGCTCTAACCAAAAATTGCTTTGATGGATTTAAACGTTCTAGGGCTTAAAAGATTTCTACATTCATGTACTTTAAGATGCCGATGGGCGTTTTTTGCAAATTTTCATTTCCGATGCCAATAGAGCTGTCAAAAGTCAAAAGGACCAAAAATCTCAAAATACTTTTATGAATTAAAAGCAAAAAACGGGGTAAATTATTTTGTAACTCATTCTTTAACAGTTTTTAGGGTCCCCGAACATAAATCTAAAGTTTTTTTTTTAAATTCAAAATGGCGGATCCAATATGGCGGACAAAATTCAAATTTGAACAGATTCGATTAAAACTTGTTACTCGGGGGTTTTTAGGGTCGCTGATTACAAATCTGAAGTCACTTTTTAAAAATTCAAAATAGCGGAAAAAATTTTCAAATTTGATCCGATTCCCTTAAAACGTGTTACTCGGAAGCTTATGGGGCCACAGATTACAAATATGAAATCAATTTTTAGAAATAAAAATGGCGGATCCAATATGGTGGACAAATTTTTAAATTTGATCAGATATAATTAAAACGTGTTACTCGGGGGTTTTTTAAGGTATCTGATTACGAATCTGAAATCACAATTTAAAAATTGTAAATAGTGGATCCCATATGACTGAAAAAATGTCCAATTTTGATACATTTCGCTTAAAGTTTGTAATAATAACAAATTGTTTACATTATAGAACAGTATGAAGCTAGAATTTCTTTAAAGTGACTTCAAATTCGTTATCAGATACGCTAAAAACCCCCGAGTAACACTTTTTAATTAAATCTGATCAAATTTAAAAATTTGTCCACCATATTGGATTAATCATTTTCAATTTCTACAAAGTAACTTTATATTCATAATCTGCGACCCCAAAAGCCCCCGAGTAACACGTTTTAAGGGAATAGGATCAAATTTGAAATTTTTTTTCGTTATATTGGATCCGCCATTTTAAATTTTTAAAAAGTGACTTTACACTACCGGTCAAAATTGAGAGACCATCCATTTTCAGTCGAATGAAAATCGTTTTAAAACATAAAATTTATTGAAACTAAAATTTTTTTCTGCTCATTTTTTTAAAGATGATAAAATTTTGAACAGAAGAAGATATTTCAGAAGTCGTTTGGCCAATAATTCATTTAGATATTTTTAAAAAATCGCCATTTTCAATGTTTTACAAAAATTTGAATAACTTCTAAAATAAAAACTTGAACCAAAAAAATATAAAAAATTTGAAACATTTTTATTTAAAGAAAAATAATTTTTAAAATTCAAACGTATTTTTTTTATTAAATTTTCTTGAAAAATCTACACCATATAATGTTTTATATATTTTCTAAAATAGTTTTTAGTACAGAAAGATTGTTCCAAATTTTTTGAATTTTTTTTGGTCCAAGTTTGACGGCCTGCATTTTCTAAGAAAAAAATTACACGTTAATGCCTATAAGTAATTCTTATAGTGTAGCAAATGACCTTTAAAACAAGCTTAACATCATTAAAAAGCGTTCATTATTTTAAAAGTTATTCAAATTTTTGTAAGACATTGAAAATGACGATTTTTTAAAAATATCTCAATAAAATATTGGCTAAATGACTTCTAAAAGATCTTGTTCTTTTCAAAATTTCATCATCTTTCAAAAAATAAAAAGCAAAATATTTTAGTTTCCATACATTTTATGTTTTAAAATGTTTTTCAATCACCTGAAAATGGATGGTCTCTCAATTTTGACCGGTAGTGTAGATTCGTAATCAGCGACCCTAAAAACCACCGAGTAACAAGTTTTAATCGAATCTGATAAAAATTGAATTTTGTCTGCCATATTGGATAAGACATTTTAGATTTAAAAAAAAAAATTTAGATTTATATTCGGGGACCTTAAAAAACGGTTAAAGAATGAGTTACAGAATAATTTACCTCGTTTTTTGCTTTTAATTCATAAAAGTATTTTGGAATTTTTGGACCATTTGACTTTTGACAGCTCTATTGGCATCGGAAATAAAAATTTGCAAAAAACGCCCATCGCCATCTTAAAGTACATGAATGTAGAAATCTTTTGAGCCCTAGAACGTTTAAATCTATCAAAGCAATTTTTGTTTAGAGCTCTGTCCGTGTTGACGTGCGGAATGTCCCATAAATATTTAGTTATTTTAAAAAAATTATTTTATTGATGCAAATAAATATTTATTTGAATTAAAATCCATGCATTACTGAATCAAGTAATTTTCCTAATTGATTTAAAGCAATATTTATTAGATCCAATTATTCTATTCATTTGACTTAAATAATTCGAATTTTCTACAAATAACTATTTATTTGATACTACAAATTAAAATTTTTATATCAATGGCAGTTCCATACGAAAAGTAAATGGTGGATCACCGATTTTTCTTAAAGTTTGTAATTTTGTAGTATTTGGGGTACTAAATAACTGTGCCAAACAGTTTTGCAAAAAAAAATTTTTTTGCAAGATATTTAGATTTGAAAAATCAGAAACTGAAAATAAATAAATAAATGTCAATTATTTATAATATTAAAAAAAAGTTAAGAAAAATTAAATTTTCAATAATTTGTTTAAACAATAATTTTTTATTGTTAAAAAAATATGCTAAGGACATCCTGGAGTTTCCTAAAAAAATTATTTTCTCAAAATTGAAACCTTTCTTAATAAGTGGTTAAATTTTTAAAGAAGTGCTTTTTGATGTTTTTGAGAAAAAAATTTTTGAAGTTTGCGCTACGAGTTTTTGTGCGTTGCGCTAACTAAGTAGCGCCTATATCAGTGTATTTTAAAAGATGATATGACCTTTACTGCTCGCCTCTAATACATTTATTAATTATATACGTATATATTATTATTATAAACAGTTTAACTATATATTTTAAACTTTTTTATTAAAATTATTTTCCTTTTTTATTGTAAAAAATCTTTTCCTCCACACTTTATCCAGGCTTATATTTCTAATTTTTTATTTTTATGGTCTTCAGTGGAACAAAAGTCAAACGTTATTGTATCAAATTTATTTTCTACTAACTGAAAAAATGCTTTAAGGAAAAGATTTTTTACATTAACCCATTGATGCCTACAGGTAAAGGAATGCAGATAATATAAAAGTAACTATTGAAATCCTGGCATGGGATCTAATGATAATTTTTGTCGTTGAATGTTAAAAAAATATTTTTTTAACAATTTTTTTTATAAACAAATGAAGAAAAATCGATTTTTATAAGAAACTTATAGCGCTATTTGATTCTACGCTAAAAACCACTACGAAAACATATATTACATAATTTTTTAAAAAAGACCTATTGGTGTAAAAATGTTATAAACAATTAGCCTGCATTCATATTGTATGAGGTATAAGGATCGTTTTTGAAGTTAAAGATTTTTTTAAACAAAATTAGCTTGATCAAGAGAGTTTTTGACGTTAAAAATTTTTTTAACAAAATTTTTACCTCAAAAACTATTTATGTAAGTAGAAATAAATAAGAAAATGTCTTCCGAGCGAGCGTTAGCGAGCGAGGAGTATGACGCTAGTAGTATATTAAAATGTGACACAAGATTTAGCATTTTCTACAAATAAATTTCTTTCAATGTACAAGTCACAATGATTTTACATAAAAGGAATCAATTTTGTGACCGTAAAATTATACTTTTTGTTTGAACAAAGGGAAGTTGGTTCGGCACTAAGAGAAGCACTTCCTTATCAAACTTGATGTTTCGAACTAACCATGTCGTCGGGTTTGTTGCAGACTTGCCGAGATTTGGAAAGCCCTTGAACAACCTTACTGTGTCTGTCGGTCGTGAAGCCATCTTTGAGTGTATAGTCGAAAACTTGGGACCTTACAAGGTATGCAAATTTGAAAATCTATATCATATTTCCTGCATACAAATTCTTTATACAATAATAACCAATTTGTTTCCTATAAAATACAGTAGCAAAAAACAAAAATTATTTTAAAAATAAAAATTCTTATAATTTCATACAACATTTGAAACAATAGGGCTAATTAAAGATACAATGTAAATCAAAATATTATAAAATAACATTTTCTCGAATGCATCAATATTTCAAGAAGTTCGCATTTAAATATATCAAATTTTCCAGTGAAATATTCAGAAAGTATGATGTGATAAGTGGGATAAAATTATTAATTTGTAATCCTCAGCATTGAACGAAAGATTTCCATGACAAAATTAGCTGAAATGCTTTTAAGAATAGTGGATATTTTATTTCTAAAAAAATATACTTTTTGTTGAGTTTCTTGAAAATTGTATTGCATATTCTGACGAAGCCTATTAGGTATAAGAATATATAAAATCCCAGGAGGTGTGGGTTCAGCAGTTTGTTAAGCTGCTTTTGGCCTTTCTTTTTGCCACACTCGTTCTCTAATAAACGTCCGCCAGCTCCCGAGAAACCCATTTTCAACATCCACCGCCTTTTCTCATTTAGCCCCTTCTTCAAGACCCCAGAATCGAATTCTTACCACTGCTGAATATGCATTTACCTTGCGCCTGATTTTTTTTCTCTTTTACAAAATGATAGGGAAAAAGGGGGAAAAAAATCTATTTTCCATTATTTTAGAGCTTTTTATTTTAAGGAATGTAACCGCCTTCGTTTACGCGGAAATTGAAGTGCCGAGACTTGTGATTTACAAAGGTGATTAAACGATTTCTCCTCTAGCCATGTTCTGTGTTCTCAAAAAGCCCTTTAAATCCAATTGTCGTAAATGAAAAATAGAAAGAGCAAATTAAAGTTCGATGTGATCCGCTACAGAGACAAAGCAATAAGAGACAGTGAAAGGATGTAATATGCATGGATCATTAATTAAAAAGATTTAAAGAAATATATTTATAACTATTTCCATGCTATCGTGTAATTTAATTGGAATTAAAATAATAAAAAGTAGAAAGAACTTGTTATGACATAAAAAATATCTTTCATTACTGTCAGAAAAAATGTGTACTTTGTTTCGTAGAAAAGTTTTAATTGTTTTTCAAGCAGACAAGAAAATACGTACCGTAATTCATTGCGAGGTGAACATATGTATATTTTTACATACCCCCTTTAAAACTCTGGAGTGGAAAGTAGTCAAAGGATTTTTAGCTACTGTACCTATATAAAAGAAAAACACGGGATATAAATATCGCATTTCTTATTTTGAAATGATTAAAATATAAAGTCAGAATTTGATTTATAAAAGACACTAACAAAGACACTTTCTAAGATCCTAAGCAAAAATTTCTGTCAAATGCCAGTATTCACAACTGGCGCAGTATTGCGACAGTACTGGCATGCCAGCAGTTGGCTTGCCAGTACTGGTTCAGTACTGGCTTCATTAAAATTTATGTACTACGCCAGTACTGCCCTTAAAGACTGGTATGCCAGTACTATGCCAGTATTTATGGAAATTTTTGCGGTAAATTATAGAAATTTTCGCAATAATTCGTAAAGATATGTAAAGCAAAAATTATCATTAAAATTTTGAATTTCAGTCATTTATGGAAATTTTACGGTAATTTATGGACATTTATGCAGTAATCTATCAACATTTTGACGATAGTTTATAAAACTATGTAAAACACAAACGAGAACTAAAAAAATTAACATCGGTAATTTATGGAAATTTTCGCGGTAATTTATGGAAATTTATTAGATAATTTATGAAAATTTTGACGATAAATTTTTAACTAAAAAATTTAACGTTGGTAATTTATGGAAATTTATACGATAATTTATTAAAATATGTAAAACACAAATTAGACCTAAAATATTTAATGTCGGTAATTTATGGTAATTTATGGATATTTTAGAGGTAATTTATGGGAATTTATTAGGTAATTTACTTATTTGTTTTTTTTTAATTTAGTTCAATTAAATAATAATTTAACTTAATTACGCAGTTAAACGCTCTTTATTAATTGCAAGTGTAAAACGTGTCGAAAATTAAAATTTATTATCCTGTAGCTTCGATAGGGTAGTGGTTAGAGTGTTAGGCTAGAAGTCCGTAGGTCGTCGGTTCGACTCCCCACAGTGGCAAATTTTATTTCGTTATAGGTTTGCGTTTATTCTGCGTTGTAAACATTAATTTGATTAAAAGTTAAAAGTTGGGGATTATTACATGTTTGCAAATATAAATTAATTTTTTGTTTATTATATTAATATTGAATTTAAATAAATTTTCTACTAGATTGGAAAATAGACGGTCTGGTCTGATTCAGGCTAGCGCCGGAAGATTTTTCTACACGGGTACTAAACCAGTACTGCACCAGTTGTCAATTTTTGCATATCGACAGGCAACAACTATTCGACATAAACATAAATGGACAGAATTCACCGACCTGACGATAAGCAGCTTATCATTCCTATTAAATATTTAATTTTGGTGTATTTAAACTTGTTAGTATTAAAATAAAAATGAACTTTACCTTTTAGACTAAAAGTAAGATTAGTATAAAAATTTAATTAAAAAATAATAGAAATTTGATAATAAAGTAAGCAAGTAGAACTCTGAAAGTTCTATTTGTAATAGAATTAAATTGAGAACGTAGCTCGACAAATAAAAGTTTAAAATGTTTATTTGTAAATTTACATTTCGAACAATGAAGAATTTCTCTAGCTAGGACTTAAAATAAATTAGAACTAACAGACTATAACTAAGTAGAACTCGTAAGTCAGATGAATATGTTTACATGCACTTGATGTGTATAGTGTGTGTATATGAGGAGTTGCTTCAACTGCACATGAAATTCGTAATTTCATTATAGAACCGTCGTTACTTCCGTCGGAAGTACCAGCCGAAGTAACTTTACCTCCGGCGACGACGAGATTTTTTTATGACTTGAAACCTAATTGAAGTCAGCCCCTTGAACATTTGAAATATTCAAGGGGTGATATTCGGCTGGATGATGTTTAACGCAAGTGGCAATTTCTTTTCCAATACCGCAAAGAATCACAAAGACCGGTAATTATCTCTCATAATAATTTCGTTAAGCGTCAACACGTTTTTCAAAGTACCCTCCAATTTAGATAAAATACACCCTTGGAAAAAATTACTCAGAAAAGAATAATTCCTTTTATGAAGAAAAATATAACTTTAATATTGAAAACATTGATTTATTCAAATTACTTCATAATTTATATAAATAAGGCAGGTTCCTTTGTTATTCTCTTCAGGATAATTTATGTATATAAAACAAACCCAAGTGATGATTGCAGAACATTAATAAATGTATCTTGTGAAGAAGATAAATTAATACAAGGAATAAATACTATTTCACCTTTAGATTTTCCAGTAATTATTTCTACAGTAATAACGTATTTCAATAAAAATTTGACAGCAAGCGAGTCCAATTACAAAATCCTAAAACCAAATTAATATTTCTTAAAAGTATATATAAAAAATTATACATCATATCTTAAATGATATAATTTATAAGAAGGCATACCATTTGGTGTTAACCCATTAAGGACGGGATGTACAAAATTTGTACATAATGTTTAAGGACATATTTTTCAATATTAAAATGCGACAAGAAAAATTATTAAGTACTTAAGTAGACATATTTCTTATGTATCAAGAGTCCTTCTTTCGAATGGCGTGCTCAAAAAAACTAAAAAATGTTAAATAAAAAATTTATACAACATTGTTTAAGAAAAGACGCGATTTTATATTGGTTTTTTCAATTTGTTTATAGCTAAACCCCTCAACATACCTTCTTCTGTTGTAAATATCGCTTTAAAAATAGTAGGTCTACAAAATGGGACTATTTTGGGAATTAAATTTGTATAGGGCTGCCACAAAATGTCGACCAAAGTTATTTTTTAAACAATATTATAAACAAATGGGGGAAATTTTCAAAAATAGTTCATTTTGTTTCAAACTTGTTAGTCGGGATTTTTTGGGGTCGCTGATTACGAATATAACCTCAGTTCAAAAAAATGTTTAATGTTAAAGTAAGATTAAACCCCGGAGTAACAAGTTTCAAGCAAAAATTAACTGTTTTTGAAACGGAAGAGAAGAGATTGTAAGGGTGCGGACAGATCGACTGCGTGGTTTAGGTGTGGAGAAGTTGATCATAAAAACTGTAAATAAGACAAGATAGTACCAAAAGGCAGAAATGATTTTATATAAAGACATTTATTATTGTTTACTTACTTTTATTTATATTGCTATTTATTTCTCCTTTTACAGCTTTACTATTAAATTTTTTGTATTTTATTCGTTGACTTAATTTACTTTTATTTTCATGTATAGTGTTGTAAATTCCGCTCTTAACTATTGACGCAGGATATCCGCAGGATTTAGAGAAGGCCGTATTTGCAACAGAGATGGAGCGCAACCCTTGAAGGCAAAAGTCCTACGAAAGTACCGAGTGTGAACAAAAGAGCTCCAAAAAACGGGTTACGGATTTTTAGTGGGTCGGGGCTGGTAGTTGATCGCCAGCTATTGAAGTTAAAATGTTTTATTTGATTATTTATTATTAATATTTCCATTTATACTATCCCCACATAATCTTGGAATCCACGGTATCTGTAAAGAGATTTCACAAAAATCCCTATGCTCAAAAAATAAAAAAAGTTCAATTGAATGAATAAATGTAGAGACATGACGTTATGCGCGTCGTTAATTCGATTTATAACGTAATATTTAAGGGATATGATAGTGTGATGAGTGGGGAACCGAGGAATCCCGATAGATTACGAATTATCAGAAATAGATAATTAATCAGAGCTTTGCCGACCTGTCTCGCGACAACTTTGTATTTTAATTAACGACGACTTCCTGACATAATAAACTGTTTTATTCTTAAGTTGGTGTTTTATTTATTGTTTAAAATCAGAAAGAG